CAGCCCCTCACTGGGGGATTCTAGGCAGGGGCTCTGCCACTGAGCCATGCCCACAATGCTTTTCTTATTTTTTGAGACAGAGTCTGGCTAAGCTAATCCAGACTACACTTGAACTTTTGATTTATCTATCTCAGCCTTCCAAGTGCTTGGGACACCAGGAAAAATCTTGAGTTTTAATCCTAACTCAACTGAGCCTGATCTCAGCCTTGGTGGACCTCAACTGTAAGTTAAGCTATGAATCCATCATGATCACGCTTAGGAGAAAAGGCACAGAGAGATCTATAGCCATACTGCCTTGAATGTGTCTGATCGCAGAAGTGGGCTGTGTCTAGTTAATACTTGGATAAGAGGAAGCATAAAGAAGCACACCCAGTGTGACATGCTTTGTAGTGGCTACCCTATGACTCTCTCTGCAGACTCTCCCTCCTCTCTTGCCTCCCCTGGGGCTTGGCTGCCTCAACCAGGAAGGAAGGGGTGCTCTGTCAGCAAATCCCTGAAATCTGGGCTTTTGGGGGATTTCAGGAACCTTGTTGGGTGGGGAGGTAGGTTCTGGCAGGGAAAGATGTGAGGGGCAGTTCTTAGGGGTCTCCTGTAGGGCAGACTTTCTGGGCGTGCCTACCCCTGGTGACTCAGGGCTTTTGGGAAAAAGCTGGCTACACCAGGGACTCCATCTGTCCTCTGAGGACTGGCTTTAGGCTGTGAGGAGAGCGCTGGCCTGGGTGAGGGACTGGGCGAGGCTGGGGAAAGCTGACCTTTGTTGCCAAGGACCTAATGTCCATTGAGTTGAACTTGGACACTTAGGGAAAAAGCCACTGGCCTCAGCTGGCCTCGGCTTTAGGAGAAGGGAGAGGAGAGGGTACTACCCCAACCTCTCTCTGTCTCTGTCTGTCTCTCTCTTTCTCTCTTTGCCTCCCTCCCTCCTTCCCTCTCTCCTCCTCTCTCTCTCTCTCTCTCTCTCTCTCTCTCTCTCTCTCTCTCTCTCTCTCTCTCTTTCTTTGACAGAGTTTCATGTAGCCTAGGCTGGCCTAAAACTTGTTATGTAGCCAAAGATGACCCTGAACTCTGGAACCCTTTGTCTTTATCTTCCTAGTGCTGACATTACAAGAGCGTGTCACCAAGTCTGGCTGATGAGGTGCTGGGGATGGGGCCCAGGGCTTCCTGTATGCTAGGCAAGTGCTGTGCCAACTGACATACACCCCCGACCTACCCTTTAAAGAATTTTCATTTTATGTATATGGGTGTTTTGCTTACATGTCTGTCTGTCTGTACACTGCATGTATCCCTGGTGCTCTGGAGGACAGAAGAATTGTAGACGGCTGTGAGCCTCCATGTGGGTACTAGGAATTGAACCTGGGTCCTCCGGAAGAACAGTCTGTGCTCTTAATTAATGAGTCATCTTTATAGCCCCACTCTTCTTTCTTGTTTTTGTTCTTTGAAATAACGGCTCATTATGTAGCCCAGGCTACCCTCAAGCTTCACGTCCTATGCCTTAGACTTCAAAATGCTGGGATTAAAGGCATGTACCACCACACCTAGTTTATGTGATGTTGTGAATAGAACCCATGCTAGTCGGCACTCTACCAACTGAGTTATGTCCCAGCCCGTCCTTGACCTCACCTGTTCCTGGGAGCACTCCGCCTGGGTATACACCTGGAATACCAACGCCTAGAGGCAAAAGAACAAGAAACCTTAGCAGAGATGTCATGGCACCAGACCTCAGCAACAGCTATCCTGGACCTTCAAGCCAGGGTCCCTACTGGGATGGCTAGGGATAAACAGAGCATGCCCACAGCATTCTCTGTTCTGTGTTAGAGAGCCTGCGGATCCTTCTGAGCACCAATTTAACTGTCTTCTGGAGCCCAGAGCCTGTTTACACAGCCTAGCCAGCCCACCTCAAGGCTAAAGGCTTCCAGATGGTTGCCTTTTCTTTAACCTGAAGTCACTTCCTAAAGAGCGTGGGGCCAAATGAGCACCAGATGGGGGTGCCTCAGGATGTCGGGCTCACCTCCAGCTCTACCGGGAACAGCTGTGGGCTGTCCTGCTCTGACTCAACATTTAAAACCTCAGTTTCCCCATCTGTGATCCAGAGCCTGTCTGTGAGGTCTTCCCCCCCCCCCCCACCCCGAGAGCATAGAAATTTCTAGGTGTCGGGTCAAGTCGCTCAGCCCCATTGCCCAATCACAGGTCCCCTGCTTTGGAGCCAGCATGTACTCTTCCCTTCATCCTCCAGTGTGTTGGAGGGGGGAGGCTCTGACCTCTGAAGACTCCTTGACCTCTGACCTCTCCCTGACCTCTAACCTCTATCCCCCACAGATTCTGCACTGACCAGGAACTTTCCCAGGCTTTCCTCCAGCCCCGACGCCAGCTCCAACTTGAGGGACCACAGCACCTGAACAGACGGGATTATAGAGTTGGGTCCACCCTTGTCCACTGGCACCACCTTCAGTCACTCAGGGCCAGCCACCATACCTGTTGAGACTCCTAAGCCACCGATGCCACCAATACCACCAACACCACCAGGAACTCCACCAACTCCAACACCACCAGGGATTCCGCCAACTCCAATGCCACCAGGGACTCCACCAACTCCAACACCACCAGGGACTCCGCCAACGCCACCAAACCCAGCTCCTGCATAGCCAGGAGCAGGAAAGTTCAGAGGTCAGATAAAAACTGTGTATTGAGAGGCAGGTGTCAGGGTCTGGTCCTGTCACCAAACCACTTCAAGATTGGGTACAATTAGCCACTCTCATTATCTTCCTGAGGAGGAGGATTCTCTCCCTCATCTCCCTCTTTACCTCCTGGGTCTGGAGGTCTTGGAAAGCCAGAGGGCCACTCACCAGCTTTGGCGGCAGCTTTATAAGCTGCAGCAGCCCCTGCTGCTCCCCCGGGCACCAGAGCTCCTGCCCCTGGTAAGGTGCCTGCAGGAAAGGCCCCAAGACCTGTGGAGGAGAGGGTATGTGTGGTCCCAAACTGCCACGCTCAGTGGGAGTTGCTGAGCCTCAGCCCAGCCTGGACCCCTTCACTCAGGAAGGGGATTCAAGATTCTGTGTCCTCTGAAGGTGTTTGTTGTCACATGGTGGCCCCTGCTCACCAGGATGGGAGCGTGTGTTAGAGCAGTGGTTCTCAACCTGTGGGTCGCGACCCCCCTAGGGAGGTGGTTGAACAACAACCCTTTCAGAGGGATTACAAAGACATTGGAAAACACAGATAGTTAGGTTATGATTCACAACAGCATTAAAATTACAGTTCTGAAGTAGCAAGGAAAATGATTTTAAGGTTGGGGGGGTCACCATACATGAGGAACTGTATTAGAGGTTCGCAGCATTAGGAAGGTTGAGAACCAGTGTTCTGTATCTGCCTAACAAAACTGCTCAGCCTGACAAAAACGTGTGACTCTTCTAGTTTTTGAGACAAAGTCTGCATCTATACGAAGTCCAAGCTGGCCTGGAAATCACTGTGTAGCTGAGGCTAACCTTGAACTCCTTGACTTTCCAGCTACCAAGTACTGTGTTCACAGATACTCAATGCTGGGATGGAATCCAGAAGAGGCAAGCTCTATGTATCTATGTGTCTATGTGTCTATGTGTCTATTATCTATCTAATCTATCCATCTATCCATCTATCCATCTATCCATCTATCCATCTATCCATCTATCTATCTATCTATCTATCTATCTATCCACACACACGCACACGCGCACATACACACACGTGCATGTGTGTGCATGGATATATATATATATAAATTATATATATGTATATACATACATATATATTATATATATACATTTGAGGCAAGGTCTCACTATATAACTTTAGCTGGACTAGAACTTGCTATGCAGACAGGGTGGGCCTTGAACTCACAGAGATCTTTCTGCCTCTGTCTCCTGAGTGCTAAGATTAAAGGTGTCTGCTACCATGCCCAGCCTTAATATTTTGTTTTTTTGAGACAAGGTCTATATGCCCAGGTTGGTCTGGAACTTCCTAGGTAGCCCAGGCTGGCCTTGAACCTTATATTATTATACCTTACACCTAAACACTGGTGTTTCTGGCATGTATCCCCACCATTTATGGTTCCCAGATGGCACATGTGCCTTTTCTGGTGGGCAGATCCGCCCCTGGGCACCCTTGGGAGATGCCTCCATCCAATCCCATCTCTATTTTACAACTGTCTCCTGGGTAGCTTCTAGGGTGCAGCTGACATTGGTGTCATCCTTCGTTCATGTTGTCACCAACAATTGGCTCAAACGCTGGGCCCTGTCTGCTGTTTATCCCAGGCAGATGCCCTGGGCTGGGGTAAGGAGCTGGTATCACGCTCAGGAGTTCACACTAACCTGCCCCAGGGCCAGCACCTGCAAGTCCTCCAGCACCTGTGAAAGAGAGAGATGAAAAGAGAAATAGGTGTGTGGGTTTCATACCTGGGCTCCTTGTGAGAAGGGTGTCACCATGAAGTGGGTGTCCAGTTTGCCCCCTATGTCTTTGGTACTGCAGTGGAGGGCTTATGACCCTGACAAATCTGCAGCCATCAGCCAGTGATCAGATACTACGTGTGGAGCTGACATAGTTGTCTCTAACAAGTATGATTAGCCTGCGTGACTCCCAGGAGGCCTGGCAGCTGCCAGGACCCAGCTGGCTTTCTATAATGGCAGAAGTTATCTGCAGGCAAAACCTCATTCCTCCAGGCTGGTCTTGCTCCCAGTGGAGCCCAGAAGAGGCAAGCTCTTATCTGTATCAGCCCAGGCATCTTCTCTGACCCCTTGATGGCATGCCCTGATTCAGACCTCTCCTTTCAACCTGGATTTGCACATGCCCATCCCTGCCCCACTGGCCCTCACTTTTTGTTTTTTTATGAGACAGGGTCTCATGTAGCCCAGGGTTGACTCAAACCCGCTGCATATCTGAGGATGACCTTGAACATCTGGTCCTCTTGCCTCTACCTCCCAAATGCTGCATTTCCAGGCAGTTACCAGAAGGCCCAGTTTACAAGGCACTAGGGTTGGAGCTAAGGGCTTCATATATGCTAGGTAAGGGATCTATGACCTGCGCCACCTCCCCAGCACTGGCGTCCTTCCTGTACAACATCTAGCTACCCTTCTGTCGGGAATCCTCCTTGTTAAGACCCATGAGGAGCCAAATGGGTCCCTCTGGCTCTCTCCTTTCCACATCTGGGGCTGATCATTCCTTCTCCTCCTCCAGGAGACATTCCATGTCCTTGGCCTTGACCGATGGGCCCAGTTAGGTTGGAGTTTTGGAGGCTTGCCTTGGCAGGTTTGTTTCCAATTATGGGAAAAATATCTCTTGCCAGTACCAGCTCTGGCTGTGGGGGTCTAGAGTTGTAGGGCAAAGTCCTCTCGGGATCCTCCAAGCATAGGGTCTGCTGAGCCCTGAGGAGGGGGCTCCCTGGCTCCCCCCGGATATCATCTTTCTTCTGACCAACCTTCCTGACTTGTCCTCTCACTGTGTGAGGGCTGAACATGTAGCTCAGGAGAGACAGCAATTGCCACGCATGCGCCAGAGTGTTGGGTTCCATCCCCAGTACTGGAATACTTATGTGTACAAGACTGAGGGGAGAGGCTGTCTGGATTAATAACTTGTTGGTTTCACCTCCCTGTCCCTCCTCAGTTCTGTCAACAGCTCCTCTCAAGCCGGTCCTGTTTCCTGTGCTTATAGAGGACAGGGGACATGCTCAGATCTTTCCTGTCCAATGGAGAGGCTGAGAGAACCAGACTGAACAGGAAGCAAAAGAAAGAAGGGGGTGGAGTTTGAGGGCCAGCCTGGTCTCTGCTGTTGCTTGTTCCTTATCAACAGTCTCTTGCACTCACCTGCTCCAAACGGTCCCAGAAGTCCGGCACCTGGAGGAGGGAGAAGGGGTTAAGGGTTGGATCACAGCTGGGAGCCCAGGGCCTTACTAGTCTATCTGCTTCTTTTAGAGTCAGAAAGTTCTAGAGTCAGGTTCTGTTGCCCCTTGCCTTAGTCTGCATAGATGAGGGAGTCACCTTCCTTTCTTCGTGCCTCAGTTTCCCCTTCTTTATTATTCTTTTAAACATGATAATCCTTAAAAAGTATTCTCTCTCTCTCTCTCTCTCTCTCTCTCTCTCTCTCTCTGTC